AGTTTTTATTAAAAAAATTAAACTTTTTAATAAAAACACAGGCAAATTTGCCTGTGTTACAATTTAAGGGATAAGATTTAGATTAGCAAATTCAAGTTTGCTCTATTTTGGATTTGTTATATTATTTGGTTAAATAATAAGTACTGTATTGGGGTTGTATAACTCTTGTTAATTTGCAAATAGAGATAAGCTAAACTGTCTATTTTTTGTTTTTGTATATGGGTTATATTATAGATAAGATTAGTAAGTTTTGTTGATATTGTTTTATTTTGTAGTAGTTAATAAAAGTAATAGTGTTAAAGCTTTTAAGGTTTTTTAAATTTATATTTTTAGCAATTGGTATTGTAGTTTTAAAAAATATACCAAAAACTAATTAAAAGATTAATTTCTATTAAAATATAGTATTATAGGCTTTAGAAGAGCTATTATTATTAAAAGACTATTTAAACTTCTTTGTACTATATTTATTATTTTGTAGCTATATTTTTAATAGTTTAAATTTATATTTGAGTAGTTTTATTTAGGGAATTGCTATTTCCACCCCTATTTTTGCTAATGCCACCCCAAAAAATCAAAAAGTGCTTCAAAATAGATATTTTTATTAAGTAAACTCTTCTTTTGATCTTAATAAAAGTTATTCATTAGGCCTTTCTGGTTTTAATAGTAGTAAAATCTTTATATTCAGACTATTAGTTTCTAAGATATATATATCTGAAGTTAATTAACTTTTATTTACTTTTTAAAAAATATATTGGTCTGATTTTAATGATTTTATAACCATTAGAACCAGAAAGGTCTGATGAACAACTTTTATAAGATTAAAAGAAAGGTTTTTTTAATAACAATACCTCTTTTAAAGCATTTTTTAAAATTTAGTGGGTGGTATTAGCAAAAATTGGAAGTGAAAATAGCAATTCTCTTTATTTATTAATATAATTAGGAAGCTAATATTTATTAGATAATATTTTAAAGAGTGAAAGTTAAGAAAAATCTTAGTTTAATTTGATTGGCTAAAATAATATTACCTGGGGATGAGAGAGTAAGTCTTTATAGTAAATGAATATTAAGTAATAAATATTATAGCTCTTACTTAAACAGATTTTTATTTATACTTTGTTTACTTTTTTACTAAGAGTATAGATATTTATCAGATAATTTTTTAGGGGAAGAGGAGTTAAAAAAATCAAAATTTTATATATAACTATATATTAAAAACTAGGAAGAAGGAGTAAGTCTCTGATAAAAAAAAATTAGATGATAAATATCTCCTCTAATTTTTATTTTACTATGATTTTTAGAAAAATAAAAAAGTTTTTTTAATCAAATAAATAATAATTTTTCTATAATATTTCTAATAGAAGTTTATCAGTTTTTGCATTTTTGAATATGAAATTAACCATAGCTACCACAACAAAATTGGCATAGCAGATCCTCGATTTTGATTGGCTAATGGCCAAGGATCTTCAAAATTTTGGCCCGCATTACATAATTGTTTACTAATTTCCGATTTTAGGTAGCGCACCCACAAAAATTTTCCTACCCCGTAATTTATAAAACCGCGTTATAATTAGGGTTAGAGCGAGAACAGTGTAGGGTTAGGGTTAGAGTTATGGTTATTGCTATTAGTAAAATTTCACAAGGAACATTTTAATTAGGCCGCAGAAGGTGGTTATTTCGCTTCGTTTGTTTACGTTACACCTGATCTTGAAATTTGATTGGCCAAAAATCACGGGAGGGGAAAATTTTTGTGCAAAAACCGATAAATATCTATTAGAAAATGGTACAGAAAAGTATTTTTCTATGACTTTATTTATTGGCCAATTTTTTATAAATTTTGCTCAAAGTCGACTGACAATTACTGCGGGACTGAATAACATCCCCAGAAACACCCGTTGGGTACCCATGAACAATAATTGCAAAATATGCCAATTGCGTGATGATCTTGCACAAGACTTGAGTTCGACAGGGCGGCCCCTGAAGTGATTTTCGATTGGCAGTTCTATGTATACAAGCCGCAGATTGGCCTGCATTACGCTGTTATTTTAGCCAGAATTACATGCTACAATTCTGTCGAATTTCGCAAGACTTTACTAAATTTCAATCCAAATATATACTTGTATGCAAAATCAGATCATTAATTTAAAAATAGGATAAGCCAAAGTTCAAAACAAAAATGCAAAAAATCTACTAATGCTATGCATTTATTTGATAAAAAATTGACCAATAATCTTTCACATATCTATTTTCACCCGGGTGGCTCATGAGTCCACCTGGTGAGTTGCTTTTTTTTAACCCACCCGGGTTCTACCTGGGTGGCTCATGACCCGGGTGGTATTTTTTTTTGACAGGTCCAATCACTACTTCTATCTATTTCCCTTTCTCCCAGCGATCATGGCTTAATATTTCTAATAGTGAAATATGAACTTGTACTGGTTCTGGATTTCAGAACAAGTACAAGTTCATTAATCACCATTAGAAATATTAAGCCATGATCGCTGGGTAGAAAGGGAAATAGATAGAAGACAAGTAGCAATAGACATCACAGATATTCTTCTTCATGAAATAAAAAGAAATATTCTTCATCAAGTTTTCAGTGGCTCAGAGAATGTACTTGTTGATGTTATTCTCTCTTCCAAAACTGTATCTAAAAGATCGCACCTTTTCTATCTTCAAAAACCTATTTTCAATAGAATCTATTCAATACTAAGTTGAACATATTAAAAAACTATACACCAAACTTCTTATCAACCACTTTAACTACAATTTCTGGCAACTCTATTTCTATGCCTATTCATATCCTTAACACACGCATTATAGAGATATCGTTACATCGAATGCAATTGACTTTGATATTAAAGTAACAAGAAACGATGCCAGAGCACTGCTAGTAAGAGACGGAAGGTTAGACAAGGTGCTGGATCAAGGGGAAATAAACCTTATTTAATAGTCCGGGCATTTTTCAAAAAAAAAAATGGAATGAACTTGCTTAAAATTAGTATGAATTCAGTAAGAGACATTTTAAAAGAATCAGACTATTGGATCAATCTTGATCCTAATAGCCATGAAGCTCAATCACAAAGAAATCGTATTCCTAAATTCCCTGAACTCGAAAAAGCATTATCATTATGGGTTGGTCGTGCACTTGATGCTAAGATATACTTTAATATTGCAGGCACAAGAATTTGCCAATCTTTTAGGAATTTCAAAATTTAAAGCTTCTGATGGCTGGCTTTCAAATTTCAAAAAACGAATTGGTTTGCATGAGTTTAATCACCATGGTGAAGCCAGTAGCGCACCACTTGAAAGTTTAGAAAGCGGAAATGGAAGTAAAATCCCGTAATGGTCATAACAAGTTGACTCAGTTTTGCGTAGGTGGACGTATTGATATGTCAAAAAAAAAAAAAAAATCAAGGGCGAGTTGTATAAATTCTACATTATATTTGGGATCAATTGTCTTTCGTTAATTAAAATCTTAAATGACGAAACTGACGAAAGGTGACGAAACTGGCAAAATTGCAAAGGGTGATAAAACTAATAAAAGACAAAGATACAGATAAATGTTGTTGAAGATAATAAAAAATAAATAAAAACAGAAATTTATTATATAATAAGCGCTTTAATTGTTTAAAGGGAATTAGAAACGAGGATTCTATATTGTATTATACTAACTACATATCAGTGTATAAAATTCAAGCTTTGATTTATGTGCGCTAAAATGATTAAAAATGAACAAATTTCTATGTGCGCTATATATATAAATCTTTGAAATTTGTGTGCGGAAAGAAAAATCTATCAGTTCTAGTGAGAAATCGCTTGGTGCTTACTTTATGGTCTCTTACAAATTTATTTGTGCCAGTATGTTTTAATTCATTATTTGTGTTATTCCATGAGTACTATGGCCTTTTGACAAGGTTATTTCATCCGGTCTGTATAACAACCTTAGCGTTGCCCAGAAAAAATGAACTGGATTATTTTGCTGGCTTACATGTAATTTCGGATAATGATCTCTGTAAATGAAATAACTTTAGGTTTGTTTTTTTTTTCGTCATTTTAAGTTTAAGGTTTCGTCTTTCGTCAGAAGAATTTGGGGTTTCGTCATTTGGGGGTTCAAGTTTCGTCTTTCGTCATCATGCAAAGAAGGTTTCGCCTAACAACTATAGTGTTAATATTACAGGTAACAGCCCACTGCTTGCAATATATAAATATATAATAACCTATTATAATTTATTACCCTATCGTCAAAGCTAAAATTCCTTCTCATAACGCACCATAAAATGAAGTCGAAGATTTTGTACATGCGTTGCTAGTTCTGTGAGTAAGAATTTAAAAACTAGCACTTCAACTCCAGATACTATTTTTAAGTTTAATGTATATATTTAGAATGGACTATTTGAATCTTCATGTAATAAGTCGTATTCTCTCAAAAAAATCCAATTCAACCGTTTCTGCACAAGACAATGAAGATTCTTCTGAAGAAGATTCTATAATTAAAACCTAAAAAGATAAGGATGCACTATTTTGCTTGCCATATTATCTTTTTTCTCATGAATAATAAAAAATTAGTTATCTTTCAATTATGTGATCGTGACAACATGATGTCCTGCCTGTGAAAGTGGGATGGCAAGTTTTTTTTTTTTTGTACACTAGTTGTACTTGATAGGATTGACCATTATGATAAAAATCTTCTGAAGTATTTTTGTGAATTCGATAATTGGGTTTACTACATAAAATTTATTCTAGCTCATGGTAAATAAATATAGTAAAATATTTTCTGTATTATTTTTATATCAATAAACCAATATGAACGTCAAAAATTACAATAATTGTGATTCTTTGCAATTGTTTCAACACGACCTTGAATTACCATTAGCTAGTATGCTAAATTCATGTGGTTCAAAACCATTTATTGTGCAATTATTGAATTGTTAGAAGTCAGGTTATAACGTTTGGTTACAAGTAATCTTCACGGGGCCTTATATATCATGTATTAGAGTGTCCAACTATTTCTAGCATCTAAAATGGCGCTAACGATATCACGAAAAAAAACAAAATTTGATAAAATTTGATTTCACTAATTCTAAAGTATATCGCCAAAGAGAGAATTGCCAGAAGCCGAGGCAAGTAAGGTAAGTAAGTATATTGCCTGAAAAGGTTTCGCCAAAAATAAGTGTACCAATCTGACCTGACAGCAAGTTTCTATTTTACAAGACGATCTAGAATAAAAACGAAAATATGTTATTAACATGACATTAAAGCAATTCCTTTACTTACCTTTAAATACAGTAATGAATATGGTGATTACTTTGATTGTTCAGAAATATACCCGGTATGTAAAAAATAGTAATTATGAAAGCATAGGCATTAATAATACGTAATCGCAAGTTGCAAAATTAATTATAACTAATGTTTCTATCAATTTACGCAATTGCATTAAATAAAAAATGACGAGGCACCGGACCTCCTTTATTTCATAAAAAGTTGTTGCTGGAACAACAATATAACATACCAATAAAAATAATACATTACTAAGACTACTACTTTTATAATTTATTCATTCGCGTAGACATTTAAAAGAAGATACATTACTGATTTTAAAAAAGAGGTATTGTATCTTAAAACTTTTACTTTTTTTTTTTTCCACCCACTCATCGACAAGGGACTGCAACTTTTCTATATCCTTGAATGCATCGATAGCAATTAAATAGATTAAACCTATTACTACGATAACAAGTTTCACAATACCACTGGGGTCCACGTTCTAAACAATTGAATTGTCCAAAAACGCATGGCTGACAATGTAAATGTCTTTGACGACTACAACATGTACCACAAATCCATCTCCATCTAAAACGTCTCCCATTTCGACTTACTTTTAAATTGTCGTCAACGGTTTCATTGTCAAGATCAATGTCAGCGTATGATTGAGTCTTCATAAATTCCGACTTGAAATCGATAACTTGCGAGACATTCGTATTGTTAAAGGGATTTAACGAACTTGAGGCGATGACATGAATAAGGACGAATAAAATGATAAATAATTTCAACATTTTTTTTTTCTTTTTGCATTGATTGAGTTAGGGAAATTCATAACATGGTATTTTTATACATACAATAACGAAATAGCAAAATAAAATATCATATTTTAATTATTAGATTAACTATACCTATTAGTTTATCTTATTGATGAAACTAAACTGTTTGACATCAAGCGATGAAATTAGACTATATAATTACGTCTGTAATTTAAACTTTTAATGCTAGGAAGCGAAACTGTCGTGAATCCAGAATAAAATGTTGATTTTAATTTGATGAGCTAATCGATATGTCATTTTTTAATTTCACTGATTGAAAAATGATTTTAATGCAATTAAAAATATGATATTGTATTCGCTAAAAGTTCTATCTTAATATCAATACTGTATACATGTTACATATAACATTTTATTTGTAATTCTAATTTCTAGAATTGAGGGGAGCGAAGTGAAAGCTTTTAAACCCTTACTCTACTAAATTTTAGGAATGTCCAGTTCCCGGTTCAACTGATCCTGATAAGTTTCGGCATCAAAACCTAAACCAGGTTCTATTGAACATTAGCTACCAAGAAATCAAGTGCTTATTAATTAATCAAAATGTGCGCAATAGTTACTTTCTGATGTGTTATCTTCGAAATTAAATAAAATCCAAAATTTTAGTTAATATTTTTTGCGAACAAAAATCAAATAAAAAAAAGACGATGCAATATTATTTTGAAATTTTGATAAATATTTAAAATACCTTAAAACTTTATTTTCAATGACGGGATTTACCTCTCCGAACAATTATTGCTTCGACGTTACTCATAAGCTATAGGTGCGTCCTTGTGACCTTATTTATTTGCTCTCCAAACTATATACAATAGCTACACCTGCTACTCATTTTTTTGCCTCACCATAAATTGTCGTTGTAAAAAGAAGTTACAGTTTAATTAATTAAAGTTTTTTTAAATTTTACATATAAACTTTTAACATCATAATAATTATTTGTCACAAAAATTATCAAACAAAAAAATTATTACGTAGTACGCGAAGTGAATTGATTTTTTAAATATATAAAGTAACGGGAGGTATAATGGCGCAGGGGGGTAATTTGGCGCACCGAAAATAACTCAAGAAAACA